GTCTCAGCACTCAATTCGCTGCCACCTCTCCCGGCCCCCCTCTCTCCTCGGCCTCTCCCCAGATTCCACTCGTCCACACCTTCTCCCTCTCTTCAGCACAGGTGAGTGTCTGTATCCGAACTGTCCTATGAGTAGGGTTCAGTGAAAACAAAGAAACAAACAAACGCTGGCCGGCCACGGAAACACTCCTCTCTTACCAGCACTGCATGATCTGGTCAGCTCCTCAGGCTGCCCCCTTTAGGCTCAGTCCTAGGTAGTCACAGAATCCAAATCTCAAATACCCCGGCGACAGGAGTCCCAAGGAACTCCTTTCCCCAGTCAGGGGCTGTGTCTGTCCCAAGAGACTCGGCTGTCTGCCACTCGGTCTCCCTCCGACCCTCTGGGCTCAGAGGTCTGGCAAAGTTTCCTGCCCAGATCCCTGGTTTTTTACCTTTCCAGGGGAGCTCTGCCCTTCCCTGCTGCAAACCTTCTCACCAGCTGAGTAATTTCGCCAATTCGGGGTGGGTGTTATTAGTTTCAGCTGCATACTCCATTTGCTCCGGGACAAGACCTGGGACGCGTCTGCCTATATCGCCGCCATCTTGCTTCTCCTTTGTCATGTTTTCATCTTAGGAGGGAAAACAGTCCATCTCCAACCATTCACTATGTCAGCTGTGGATGCCATTTATTAGATTGAAGAGGTCCCCCTCTGTTTCTAGTTTGTTGAGTGTTTTTATCATAAAAGGGTGTTAAGATTTTATTAAATTCTTTTTCTTACTCTATTAGGACGATGTGGTTTTTATCCTTTATTCTTATTCTATTAATATAATGTATTACATTAATTGATGTCTGGATGTTAAAACAACGTTGAATTCCTGGAATAAATTCTACTTCATCAATGGTGCATAATTCTGTTTATAAGTTACTGAATTTGGTTTGCTAGTGTTTTGTTGAGGATTTTTATATGTGTGTTCATAAGGGATATTGATCTGTAGTTTTCTTGTAATGTTTTTGTCTGATTTTGGTAAAAAGGTAATATGGGCCTCATAGAATAAGTTAGGAAGTTCCCTTCGCTTCTCCTTTTGGAGGAGTCTGTGTAAAGCTGGTGGTAGAATTAACCAGTGAAGCCATCTGTGCCTGGGCTTTTCCTGTGTGGGAAGTTTTGTAATTACTTATTTTATCTCTTTGTTATAGATCTATTCAGATTTCTGTTTCTCCTTGAGTCCATTGGGTAATTTGTATCTTTCTAGGAACTTGTCCATTTCATCTAAGTTATGTAATTTGCTGACAAATGGCTGCTGATGCTATATCCTTATAATCATTTTTATTTTTTTTAAGCTTGGAAGTGATGTCCCCTCTCTATCCTGATTTTAATACATTGAATCCCTCTTTAAAAAAATTTTTGGTCTGTCTAGCAAAAGATTTGTCAATTTTGTTGATATTTATTTTCCAAGAAACATTTTGGTTTCACTGATTTTCTCTATTTTTCTCTTCCCTGTTTTACTTATTTATGCTAGTTTATTATTTTCTTTCTTCTCCTTGCTTTCTGTTTAGTTTGCTCTTCTTTTTTTCTTGTCTTAAGGTAGAAGGGTTGGTTCTTAATTTGAGAGCTTTTAAAAAAAATACAAGCACTCATAAGTTTCTCTTTGAGCACTGTTTAGCTGCATCCAGTAGGTTTTGGTATGTTGTATTTCAATTTTCATTCATCTTAGAGTGTTTCCTAATAGTCCTTGTGATTTATTTCTTAACCTACTAGTTATATAGAGGTGTATCTTCAAATTTCCACATATTTATAAATTTCCTTCCCAAATTTCCTTCTGTTAATGGTTTCTAATTTGATGTCATTGTAGTCAGAGAACATATTTCCTCTGGTTTCAATTCTTTTAAATTGATTGAGGCTGTGTTGCAGTTTATGAATGTAGCAAACTAAGCTGTAGACCAGTCGGAGGTTTAACAAATAACCAGGGAAAGAGATAGCTAAAATCCTTTCATATATTAGCATTTGTATAGCTCTTGTTATATATAACTAAATTGCTTTCTAAAAGTGTTATACCAGTTACATTGCTGTTAACTACTCATAAGTCTACTAACTTCACTGTAACCTCTTTATCTTGGATGTTACATTTAATATTGGTTTATAATTCTGCAGAGTATTTATTGTTCACTGTGTTATAATACTTTATCAGAGGAACAGAGATAACTTTTGATTTATATTCTTTCCTCTTCTTTACTCCCAAGTCACCTGGAACCTCTGTGACTCCAAGTAGTGGCTCCTTTTCTAGTGTATATGATCAACAGACATTTAAAGATAATCGTCAAGGTCAATGGCAACGTCGAAGACGGTTGGATGGAGCACTGAACAGAGTCCCAATTGGATTTTATCAAAAAGTATGGAAAGTTTTACAGAAGGTGAGCATAACACTTTTCAGGTGTCTCTTTATTTTCCCCCTTGAGTTCCTCATTCTCCTTGGCTGAGATATGACATGACTGTGACATCACAGCAATTATATAGACGTGAAATGCTACACGATGAAACCTAGAACAAAACATAAAAATGAAAGAGTTGATTTGTTATTTTGCCAGTATTGATAATTTAGTCTCTTTACACTGGTGTTGTTTATAAATTAGATTTAAAAAATCATCACTTCTCTGCTTTTGTCCACAATTGGACATTATAGGACATTGTATTTGCTGCTAATCAAATGAATTTGTAACAGTGTGCTGTTAATAACTAAATGTCACTATAGTAAAATAACTGTGGCATCTGAAGAGTTAATATAAAAAACTCTTACTTGTATTTTTTCTTGGATGAAAACTACTAAATAAATGCAAAGTCATAATGATATTAATATTCCAAAGACTTTGTTGGCATGACCAATTTTGTTTTTCTTTTAAAGGCTTAGTTTGCCAAAGACATTTAAGGGTACATCATATCATTATGTTTATGACAGTTTTAGAGGTCCAGGAAGACCATTGTACTCATTCATAGGCCTCATTCATAATCTCTTAGGTGCCACTTTTTGCTTCATTGCCTTTGGCAAGAACCTGAAGAATACTTCATCCAGGACTTCAGAACCATTAGTTGAATTTTTCCCCTTAGCACATTAATATTCTTCCAGGGACAGAATCATGTGATCTTTTGGAAAGGTGGAAGTTGAGTCCTTAGACCAGCCGTGGGCAAACTACGGCCCGCGGGCCGGATCCGGCCCGTTTGAAATGAATAAAACTAAAAAAAAAAAAAAAGACCGTACCCTTTTATGTAATGATGTTTACTTTGAATTTATATTAGTTCACACAAACACTCCATCCATGCTTTTGTTCCGGCCCTCCGGTCCAGTTTAAGAACCCATTGTGGCCCTCGAGTCAAAAAGTTTGCCCACCCCTGCCTTAGACTATCAGCCCTGCAATCTTCCTTTCAAATAGTACCTAAAACTTGCTTTCCTTCCATCTAACTTCTTGAGAACAGTGGTGACAGATTTGTACTTTATCTCTTCAGTTACACCTGGCTTATAAAAATTCAGTTTCACAGACACATAGTAGGTACTGTTCTACCCCAAATACCATAGAAGATATCTGTTCTTGTCACTACGGAGTTTAATCCATAGTTACCTTAATTAGCAGCTATAATGCAAGGCCAAAATACGTTATGATAAAAGTGTAGAACCACGAGGCTGTGAGAATACAAGAGAAGAAAATTTGAAATCTGACAGAGGGAGATTGGGTATTTTGTGGTGGAATCAACACCTGGACTTGGAATCCTGATCTAAGAGGAAAAACAAATGCCCCTTGTTTTTTTCATTCCATTCTTTTCAGGCTATGAATGTAACATAATCACAGTGCACATGTGCCTGAAGGCTAGTAATTCTCTGTACAAAGACTGTTCAATTTGATTTATGGAACATAGAATAGAAGTGTCTGGTAGACTCGCTAAATCTATTGGATTGAAATCTTTATCTGTGGTGTAATATATAATGTTTTGATTGATTTAAAATCTAAAATGGCAAGTCATTAGTTCTTATTGGCTTTTAGTAATTGAGTTGATGGTTAGGAAGAAGATAAAATATCATTCATTCCTATATATGTCCTAAGCACCTGCTGTGCACTAGGCAGTGCCCTAGGTGCTGGCAGTGATACAGCAAAGAGCAAAACAGACAACAATCCCTGACCTTATGGAATTTACGTTCTACTAAAGAGAGACAAACAATAAATAAATAACAAACACAGCAAATAAGTAATTATATACAATGTTAAAAGATGACAAGTACTATAGCCTGTGGACTGAAGGGTCCTGGGTTCGATTCTGGTCAAGGGCACGTACCTAGGTTGCAGGCTCGATTCCTGGCTCTAGTCAGGGCACATGCAGGAGGCAACCAATCGATGTGTCTTTCTCACATCAATGTTTCTCGCTCTTTGTCTCTTCCCCTCCCTTCTACTCTCTCTAAAAATCAATGGAAAAATATCCTCAGGTGAGGATTACCAAAAAATAAAATCACAAGTACTCTAGAAGAAGTAGAGCAGGAGTGTTGATGGGGGATGTTTAACTAGAAAATGAAGTAACTGTGTATGTCCAATAAATTTATATCTTGAGTTTTTTCTTCAGCCTAAAAATCTTTCTGAAAGCCTATTTGTGTTGGCTCTGGGATTGAGTATGGTATCCTCCTATGTAGTCTCTGAATCTTTGGGGCCAGTTGGTTGCCAAAGGTAGACCTTCCCTACCCCTTCCACTCCCCTAAGTAGAGCATGAACCTTAGGTCTCCTATAGTTCAACCCTGTTTCTTGCCACATAGTAATCACAACCCCTTGGCAAGGACACTTAAGCTGCAGGGCCTCTCACTGGCCTGTGATTACTTAGCATCTCCCCTGTGAAGCACACTTAAAAATATTAGGTATTTCCTTACAGCCTCCCAGTTGTCAGCATATCCTTATTGACAACATGTTTTTGCTGTTTCACAGTGTCATGGACTTTCAGTGGAAGGTTTTGTTCTACCTTCTTCAACCACTAGAGAGGTAAGATTCTGTGTCATTCACATTTATGTGATTGATAGCTTGTCTGACTAAAGTATTTCAGTGATCATTTTTCAGAATAACAGATCTGAGCTTTTATAAATCAACTGAACATGAGACTTGAAGAAAGGAGAGAATGTTTTTAACAAATAGATCAAGAATATTAAAATAATTAGATAGTATGTTAGTTATATAAGGCAGCTTCTTTTAATGATTAATTAGGCTGATTTATATGAGTGTTGCCAGAGTTGGAGGGCAGGCAAGATAAAAACCTAAGAATGAATGACTTCCCATGTCCCCATTTTTCTTAATCCCACCATTCTGTGGTAGGATGCTTGTAGACTATTAGATCATAAACCAGTGTCCTTAGCTCTAACTATATGTCACAACAACCTGAGCTCTCATCTCCAATTTAGTGGATTATAGTTTCCAGGGATGGAGCTTGAGCATCTGTACTTTTTTTGTTTGTTTGTTTTTGAGCATCTGCACTTTTAAAAAATCCTTAGAATGACTCTGATATATAACTGTAGTTGGAAAACATTGCCATGAAACACAGACATAGATTATCAGTTGGTTTCACATTTTACTTTTCACCCAATATGGAAAATTTAAAGAAATAGTTTGTATTCGAAATCAACAAACAGGTTAGAATTAGCAAGCTAGAGATAGTAAATTGGACAGTAGAAAATTCTCAAAAACACTAGAATTGTTACAGATAATGTCTGGAGAGGCAGGGACAGAAAGTTGATGCTGTGCTTCAAGGCTTTACTCTTGCCTAGAGGCCTTTCCTGTAATAAAGAACAATGTCCTCTTTGTCTTTTCTCTGCCTTTAAGCAAGATTGAAATGTTAATAGAATTAATAATAATACATAACTGAATGGTAACTTTAAGAGTCTTCAAAGTACCTTCACACATTCTTTAATTTTATCTTCAACACAACTATATGAGATAGCTAAGGAAGATATTGTAGTAGAACTAGTAACTGACAAAGAGAGGACCTGAACCAAGGTTTTTAGATTCCAAATCTGCATTGCCACCCTAAACTGTATATTCAATACAATTTTGCCAAAAATTATTCCTCAATCCCCTTCATGCTAAATAAACTTTATATTTCTTTATGCCCATTTTAACCTGACAGTATATTCATGATTGACATACCTCCAGTCATCATATATATATGATTTTCAGTTCTATTTATTTTTTCATTTATCCACAGTCATTATATTTACTTTTAAATGACTATAAAAGTGCATGAAGTTGCTATACCATGATATGCCATTATTTACACAACCATTCCCATGTTTAGCTTACTTCTGGTTTTACGCTTGTGACTAATGCTGCTATAAGCACTCTTGTACATAGGGTTTGTTTGTTTTTTCCCTTTTGAGTTATTTTGTTAAGATAAACTCCCAGAAATAGGATTGGGGTTAGAGGGCATCAATACTTTTACGACTCATTAGGCAATGCCAGACTGCCTTTCAAAAAAGATTGAACCAATTTACTTAATTACTTTAAAGATACTGAAGCAGTGCTCTTGGCTGTTGGGTTTGTACTGCCTTTCAGAATAGATGACTGATGTCTCCTGATGATTGGTCCTTCAAAAGTGATTTTCTTTTTCTCTATCACAGATGACTCCAGGCGAGATTAAATTCTCTGTTCATGTGGAGTCTGTCCTAAATCGTGTGCCTCAGCCAGAATACCGCCAGCTTCTGGTTGAAGCCATTCTTGTCCTCACCATGATGGCAGATATTGAAATTCATAGTATTGGAAGCATTATTGCTGTGGAAAAAATAGTGCATATTGCCAATGACTTGTTCCTTCAAGAACAGGTAGGCAAACTGGTTGTTTTCTCAAAAGGGAATGTCTGGCACTAATCTGAATGCATTGAGAACTCTTCCTGAAGCCAAGGTCATTTTCTTGTGCCCTATACCTCATCGCTCTTTTCTGGGTCCCTTTTGTGATGGCTCTGAACTGATTGCAAAGGAAGTAGGCTGCGAGATGACCTGCCTTTCACCATGTGTTATATGCCTGTTAGATTGTAAAGTTGCCTGGAACTCAGGAGGCTTTTATGCTTTTCATTGTATTTCATACTTTTTATTATACTACTTTTTGTTGTGATAAGAACTTAATGAGAGACTATTGGGTGTCATACCCTTTCTGAAGTATTAAGGAAAAGAGAATATTGTATTTTAGTTTTGGTTTGGTTTTGCTTTTGATGCTTACCTATAGGAAAATATTAAAGTGAACCTTTTAATTCTACATTTTTTCTTAATAAATTTTCTTCCAGGAAATTAACCATATTGTAAAAATGTAAACTATTTATTGAAAGGTTTCCAAATGTTTCCTAGATCTAGTGTAGGAACACATAAGGTGATGGACATGCACTGTTGTCCATAGGAAAATCTCTAAGACATTGACAGGTGTTTTATTCTCTTAGGCACTGTGGGTAGATGCAAAAAAGTAAAAGTATCTGGGATTTTCTAGGACAATCCTGATTTTAAATATTCTGGGTTGCAGTCAGTTTGTGAATCAGAAATGTGATGCCTTTTAGACATAGACTCTAGCTTAGAAAGCTTATAGTATACCTGAATTAAGTCAACTTAGAAAGAAATAATGATCAAATGCAAGATAACATAATACACAGCTGAAATCAGTAGTATTAGAATGGTTCAGACTAAAGTCCCTCTAGGGCAGTGGTCGGCAAACTCATTAGTCAACAGAGCCAAATATCAACAGTACGACGATTGAAATTTCTTTTGAGAGCTAAATTTTTTAAACTTAAACTATATAGGTAGGTACATTGTTATTAACTTAATTAGGGTACTCCTAAGGTTTAGGAAGAGCCACACTCAAGGGGCCAAAGAGCCGCGTGTGGCTCGCGAGCTGCAGTTTGCCGACCACAGCAGGGTGATTTGTAAGTATTAACATTTGAATTTTAATAGGCATAACTCATTTAATTATCAATTTTATTTAACTTTCAAATATTCTAAATAATTAATACTTTAAATATAATACATATGAATTTTTGATCTAGTGAAAAAATGCATGTATAGAATATATTCCCTGCTTTGTGCATCACCCTGATCCCTTCCTGGCTAAACAGCCTAAGATCCAACTAGTTGGTGATGGTGAGGAGGCTCTGAGTTACCCTAATCAGACTTTAATTAGTAGGATTAGTAATTTTTCCTTTCCCCTGTGTTCTCCCACCCTTAAAAACCAAACAGAAAACCCTCGGCGCAGATGATATCATGTTGGCAAAGGATCCTGCATCTGGCATCTGTACTCTTCTGTACGACAGTGCACCCAGTGGCAGGTTTGGCACCATGACCTACCTCTCCAAGGCAGCCGCCACCTACGTGCAGGAGTTCCTGCCCCACAGCATATGTGCCATGCAATGAGGCCTTTGGGCCCTGGCTACTAGGAGCCTTTTGCCAGCTGGTTCCTGCCTCCGCTGATTGTGCATGGAACTGAACTGTGATGGCCTGATCACTCCCACCCTGCCACAAGAAGAGTGAACTTTTCTGACAAACTAATTGCTTTAGAAGAAGTGAACCCTTGCTCACCCAGGCTCTTCATTGTGGGCCTTAATTCTTTCATGGGTCACAAAAGTATGCATGTGTTTTTATTCTCTAGACCTGTTACACACTTAGTATTCTAACTGCTGTTTAGGGAGCAGGTATTAATAACGTATTCTTCAAGTTTGGTTTTCCTATGTGTGGTTTCCTTGTGTGAATGAGTGGTGGGTACTTTGAGACATTATTTCAAGTGAGTAAAGCCTAAATTGTTGCATTTTATGCTGCTATGAATTGCAAATATTTGTTCTAAGTGCCTTTTCTTGGAAAAAGAGGGTAGCAGATTATAGTTTCCTTCTTTACTCTCATGTTGCCTCACACTGAGTGATATGCTCCTTCCTGTGTAGAATTATTGTTTCTGCTTTTGCCTTTTCTGTATCCGCACACATGATTTCTAGTCTCCCTTTGGTGAAATGTCTAAAACTGAAAGTCTAGTATATAAAGTTCAGGATTTGTGCATTAACACTTGAAGCCACTTTTGTGAAGATTGCTAGGGCTCAGATATGTATTTGTAGTAGAAAATGCAGAATAACCCAGAGAAATGAAGCCAGGAGCCCAATTCCAGAGAGGATAGGGGGCAGAAGAAAAGATGCCTAGGTGGTATATTATGTCTAGGAAACAAAGAGAGAATCAGAGGTGGCTCTGTGCCCTGAAGAGAGCCTTGTGCACCTACTCCTGGCCTCTGAAGAGTGGGCTGGCACAGAGAGTAATCGAAGCCTCTTTGGCAACCAGGAATCAGCAGTCTAGTCTCTGGATGCTTTCCTGAGCACTCTTTTCTTGTTTTCACCTGGTCTCTGTCTCACTCACCTACTTACTTTCTACAGCATCCACCCCATCCCCAATTCCAGGCCCTCCCATTTATTCTTAAACTCTTTCACTTACATCTTCACTTCCTGATTCTAGTGTTGGTGTATAGCTTGCTATCTGTGGGCATATATCCATTTCTTGCACACAACTGCATTTGTGTGTGTCTAAGCATACATGGGAAATTTTCTGAATATAAGTACTTTTATGTGGTTGTATATCTGTAGCTATATTTGATAGACTAAGCAAGTATGTAAATATGAGTGTTGCTTCTGGTGGGGGCAATGACTGTGGCCTCAGGCTGACATAGAAAGGATAGTGGAAGAAAAGTTAAGTCCTCTTCTCCAGTCCCATGCTTAGGCAGCCTTGTTTGAAGAATGTCTTTCCTAACTCTTGGTTCAGACTGCTATAACAAAAACTACAGACTAGATGTCTTAAACAACAGACATTTATTTCCCATCATTCTGAAGGCTGAGAGATCCAAGATCAAGGTCCCAGCAGATTCAGTGTTTGATGAGGGCCTGCTTCCTGGTTTGCAGATGGCTGTCTTCTTGCGGTGTCTTCACATGGTACAGAGACAGAGCTCAGGTCTCTTCCTCTCTTATAAAGGGTATTAATCCTGTCCTGGGGACTCTATGCTCATGGCTTCATCTAATCCTTATTAGCTCTGAAAAAAGTCCCTACCTCCAACTACCATGACACTGGGGATGAAAGTTTCAACCTCTGAATTTGGGTGGGACACCTTTAGTCTATAGCACTTTCCTCTGATTTATGTATAAAGGTGCTCCTAATTTCTCTGCTTGCTCTCAGAGAATTTCCTACTTCAATCCCCTCATTCCCTCTGGTTTTTCTGTTTTTTTTTTTCTCCAAGAATGGAGATGGAGAAGGGGGACTCTCTAAATATTTTTTTGCAGAACCAGTGACAATCTTATAAGTACACATGAATAAGTGAGCAGAGTAGGGTGATAGAAAACAAACAAAGAGAGGATAGCCAGGCTTCTCAGTACCTCTCTTAGAGCAAATGGAAACACACAGTAAGTAGCTTTCTGCTTACATGATTTTCTGGATCATGTACAAAGATAATTTACAACCTGTTCTGAAACTTTGTCTTTTCACTAGCTGCAAGTGTGCCCCAACTACCCAGAGTGCATCTGTGGTGGCATAGGTGAAAACCACCGCTCCCTCCCACACTAATTTGCCTGCACTGACACGGATGGCTGCATTTCTCTGGGTTACTAAGTTGTCCAGCACTATGCTGCCCTTTCACTATGTTTTGCTTTTAAAACAACTTTTTAGAAAACTTGATTTGTATTTTACTCATTTTAAGCATGTGATACTAAAAAAAGATGGATTTTTAAAGCACTTCTGTTTTTAAAATAGAATAAAAATAGAATTTCCAATTAAATCATGTGTAAAACTTAACATGTGTTTTTGTGATTGGAGTTTATTTCATGGCTCTATTTTATGTAATCTAATTACACACTACAGTCCAAGCTCATTAGTTGGGTCAAAGTGTAATAATATTAATACATAAATCACACATTATACATTATATTATGTTATACTAGAGGCCCGGTGCATGAAATTCGTACATTGCAGGGGGGCCCTCAGCCAAGCCTGTGCCCTCTTGCAGTCCAGGAGCCCTTGGGGGATGTCTGACTGATGACTTAGGCCCACTTTCCCACGGGACATCCTTAGCGCTGCCGTGGAGGCAGGAGAGGCTCCCACCACCGGCGCTGTACTCACCAGCTGTGGCTGAGCGGCGCTCCCCCTGTGAGAGCGCACTGACCACCAGGGGGCAGCTTATGCGTTGAGTGTCTGCCCCCTGGTGGTCAGTGCAATCATAGCAA